ATCCATCTGGTGAGGTCTGTGTGTATAGTTGTCTCTTGTGCTGTTTAATAAAGGTATTTGAAATGAACAAATCATTGGTTTTGCAGAATTCTATCATGTGATCTCCAGCATCATTTCTATCACCAAGGCCATGTTTTCCAACTACTGATCCTTCCTCTTTGTTTCCAACCTTTGCATTCCAATTGCCAGTGATTTTCAATATATCTTGATTGCATGCTTGATCAATTCAGATTGAAGAAGTTGGTAGAATTCTTCCATTTCATCCTCACTGGCTTTAGTGGTTGTTACGTAAATTTGGATAAGAATGGTATTAAATGGTCTTCTCTGTTGTTGTTGTTGTTATGTGCCATGGAGTCGGTTCTGACTCATAGCGACCCTGTACAGGGTTTTCAAGGCTGTAAATGTTTACGGGAGCAGAAAGCCTCATCTTTCTCCCACGGAACAGCTGGTAGTTTCGAACTGCTGAGGTCTTCTCTGTAGGAACACTGATATTATCCTATCACAGACAGCGTTGTACCACATGACTGATCTGGATATGTTGTTTTTGTCAATGACTACAACACCATTCCTCTTCAATTTTCCATTCCCAGCATCGTAAACCATGTGGTTATCATATTCAGAATGGCCAATACCAGTCCATTTCAGCTCACTAATGCCTTCGATATCAATATTTTTGCGTTTTGTTTCATTTTTGACCATTTCCAATTTTGCTGGATTCATACTTTGTACATTCCAAGTTCCAATTATTAATGGATGTTTTCAGCTGCATCTTCATTTTGAGTTGTGCCTATAGTCTTAGTATAGTTCTCATGAAAGCATACGCTTTTTGGAAACCATTCTTAACTACTGTATTCCAATTTCTTGCTTTTTGCTCTTTTAATATTCATCCTTATACATCCCTTTATTATAGTAGTCACCATATTAGTTTCTGTATGCGTTTTCCACTGTAAGTGCTTGACAGACTGGGACTATGCCGTTTAAAATTTAATTTTATTCATTTTTCAAATATTTTATTTGAAAACATAGGCTTTAAATTTTACTTTCTATGCCCTAGCATATAACAGTCTTAAACTAAATGTTATTTGAGTAGATTATAGGAATGAATGGGTGAACTTGGTTGTTTAGAAATGTGTTTTTAAATTAAACAATTGAGCCAAAAATTGAAAGATAGTTAAGTTTTGGGTAGGCAGAAATGAAAGTTGTTTAGGGGCAACATATTGTTGAGTTGAAAGTAAACCAGTTCATCCCCATCCTCACATTCAAGCACTTAGTATGGCTCTAACTCTAACTTTCTAACTGTAATTGTACTTTATATAAAATCCTTTGAATAAGGAGCAAGTCTAATACAGAGTGCTGCTTTCACCTTTAGGATATTCTGCAATTCAGAAGAAACAATTAGGTTGTTGAACCAATAAATTGAGATCCATGAGAAGTGAGAGGGAGTACAGTTCTCAGATAGGGTGTATAATAAATAGCCCTTAACATTTTCCTGGTAGTCCTAATGCTTGCACTCTTAGACTTATCTAGTTGTTATTGTTAAGAGCTGTCTCTTAAGGATCCTGTTTAGGGCTTCCAAGGAGCGATTAGTGGGTTTGAACCACTGATTTTGTGATTAACAGTCTACTATATCTTATAGCACCACATTCAGAATTATAATAAACCAAAAATAAGTCTTGTAGATGTCTAGCTCTGGTTGACAACACCCGAAGAGTCTGAACTTAAATTATAAACAGATGGTAATGTAGAATAAGCCCTGGACCACAATGTGTATTGGAACCCACAAAGTCACAGTTCAGATCTACCAGTCACTCCTTGGAAACCCTATATAGGGGTCGCTGTGACACGGAACCGATTCTAAAGTGTTTAACAACAGCACTACACATGGTAGAAGAGACCTTGGTGGGAAAATAGTTAAACACTTGGCTACTAACAAAAATGGTTGTTGATTTGAACGCATTTCGCGCTCTGCAGGAGAAGTATGTCAGCCTGCTTCTATAAAGATAACAGTCTTGGAAACTCAGTGGCACTGTTCTGCTCTGCCTTGTAGGGGCTCTGAGCTGGAATCCTCTGAGCAGCAGCAGGTTTGGGTTTGATTGGACAGGTTAATGTTTTCAGAAGCTTATGTGTTTCTCATATTGTTTCTGCAGTAATTATTCCTGCACAGACATATACTCATTTTGTTTGAATAGCCAGTGCACAAGTAATGAAGACCCAAAAGCAGCCACCAATACAAATAGAAGACAGAAACAGATCAGCAGAGCCATAAAATGTTATCAGACACAGAATAAATTTATAGTGCTTGTTTAGTCTGAAGAAATAAGTCAATCTATAAATTTTCTTTAGAAAAAATATATTTTTTTAAAAGAAAGCACATAGCAGCAGTTGGCCTTGATGTAGAGAAGTATTTCTTAAAACACAAAGGCGGTAAACCAAATCAACAATAAAAGATGAAATCTGATACACTTTGGTAGTTGAATTAAGAATGTCAGCTCATCAGCACATACTATACATAGCTGATTATTGTAATTGCTGTTAATAAGTTGCACACCTGTAAAAAGCTAAATGACAAATGTTGTGCAATACATATATTTACAATAGTGACAAAACAAAGAGCAGCTGCGGAGGTGCAGCTAAGCATTTTGCAGATGAAATTTCAAATGGCCCATTAACATTTGAAAAGGTCTTCAACCTTAATAATCTGGGAGATTCAAAATAAAATCTCAGTGATATGCTGTACATACCTTCAAGATTGGCAAATATTGAGAATTCTGCTAATATTAATTGTTGCTAAGTATATCGAGCAACAGGAACTCTAAAGATTGAGAGTATAAATTGATGTTTTGGAAATTTTCTTGAATTTGTCTGGTAAACTTGAAAATACATATAGTAGGTCAGTAAGAGAAAAGCTAGAAAAATTTATGCAAAATATACCAAGATGTTGTTAAGTATCATCGAGTCAGTTCTGACTCAGTGACCATGTGTAGGGTTTTAAGGAATAGCTGGTGAGTTTGAAACCCCGACCTTCTGGTTCAAATCAACCTTGTGGTCCAGTGCTTTATCCCACAGTGCCGCATCAGCAAAATAGGAAATGAGAATTTTTCTTGTAACATTGTTTAACCCAGAAATGAAGCAATACATATAATAAACTAGACAGCATTTAAAGCCATAATGTATACAATTGCATATGAATCTCAAAAAATTGAAAAGGGAATTTTAAAAATAATGGATTCAATCATTTTATTTGAATGAATCTCAGGAACACAGAGTGAGAAAGACTACAAAAATACTCATAATCCAGTTTTACGTATACAAAGTTCAAAAACAGACAACTCTATTGTTTATGTTTCCTTTTGTTGCTTGCAGAACACAAAAGTTATTTCCTAAGTCAGTACAATGGTTTCACTTTGAGGCAATCATAGTGTTAAGATTTGTTGTTGTTAAGTGCCGTCGAGTTGGTTCCGACCCATAGTGACCCTGTACAGGGTTTCTGAGGCTGTAAATCTTTACAGGAACAGAATGCCTCATCTTTCTCCCGCAGAGTGGCTGGTAGTTTCGAACTGCTGGCCTTAAGGTTCACAGCCCGATTCGTAACCACTATGCTACCAGAGCTTAGGGAGAGGTATTTCAGAGACTTCTGTGATGCTAATAATGTTCTTCTGTAACATTTGTGGCAGTCACATGAGTGTTTTAAAAGTATTCATTATATATATTATGTGCATTTTTCCTTTTGTTATTTTACAATAATGCATCTTAGAGAAAATACATGAGGAAAATAAACCTTAGAGTAAATTATGAAATAAAACAGGTAGATATCAATCAGGAACAGGTGACAGACAGTGAAAGAGCCAGCTTGAAATCTTGAAACTATAGAAACTCAATGCACAGAATAAACTACAAGCTAGATGAAAGAAGCATATAAAAATTACTGGGAAATACGAAGAGATAGCTAGGAGGTATGTTGGTTCTGACACGATGGTTACTTTTGCCCGTTTGGGAATTTTCCTGTACCAGAAAAAGATGGGTAGCATGTACATTCCAATAAACAAAACCCTTACTGACATTGCATGGTATCATGAGTTTAATGATGTCAGTATTATAAACAAAATTAGTTACATTGAAGAGCCCTAATTTATTTATTTATTTGTTTTTTTAATCTGAGAGACTAACATTAAAACGTTAAAAGTTTAAAAGACTGTGTTTTAAATACAACCATAAAGTTTCCTGCTGGGCCAAAAAAGAGATAGCTTTTGTCCACTATGACTTCTCTCAAAGAAACATTTTCTTAACATTTTATGTGTAGACCCTATAACCTATTTTTTAAAAGTATTTCCTTCAAATGCCTTTGCCAAAAAATAAGACATTATATATTGAAACATCTTTTTTCTCTCCCTTTACAGAATAATACCATAATCTTGTAATGGAAATTATGATCCAATTCATAGAAATATTCTCTATGTACCAGTTTTCGAAGGGGAACTCATCTGTCACTTTAAAGTACTTGAGAGAATGTCAGAAAGTTCATGGAACAATGGAATTAAAAGAAAATTAAATTTTTCCATGAAACTTTTGAAGCCCCCTTATTTCTGTACAAAGAAGCCCTGATGGTGCTGTAGGATAAGTATTAGACTGTAAACTTAGCAGTTCAAACCTACCACCTGTTCCACCAGAAAGATAGAGCCTGGGAAACCCTATGCAGGGTCACAAGCAGTCAGACTTGTTAACAGTGGAGGTGTTTTTTTTTTTTTTTTGGGGGGGGGGGGAGATATATGTACAAAGGAGCACTTATCTTTGTATAGTTATATAAAGTCTTGGTCTCTTGTTTATCCTGACTCATGATCATCTCTTGCTCTAAGAACTCAGTTGATGTCATTACCTCAAAAAATGTGTGTGTGTTAGAATTTTTAAATGCATTTGTCCCTGAGCTTATGGAATATAACTCCAGTTGTAGCTTAGAAGGCTGCAGATATATTCTTAATTTATCTATTTATTTTTTTCAACAGTTGAACCCACTGTGAGTTTGATGAAAGGACCTGATTCTTTAATTGATGGAGGAAATGAAACAGTAGCAGCCATTTGCATTGCAGCCACTGGAAAACCAGTTGCACATATTGACTGGGAAGGTGATCTGGGTGAAATGGAATCCACTACAACTTCTTATCCAAATGAAACTGCAACAATTGTCAGTCAATACAAGCTATTTCCAACCAGATTTGCTCGAGGAAGACGAATAACTTGTGTTGTAAAACATCCAGCATTGGAAAAGGATATCCGATATTCTTTCATATTAGATATACAATGTAAGTACATAATAGCATTTGCTTTTTAAATGTAAATCATTCATTTTAAATATTTTTCCTTTTTTTAAATCAAACTATTTTTACTTTGAGTATTTGATAATCAGATTCTTATGTTTTTCCTTCTTGGCTTTAAAAAATAATTTATTTTATAATTTATTCCTATTTTCCTAGAAATATTATTTAGCTAGAACATTTTTCATCAGGTCAGAACAGATGATTGCAAAACTTAAAATTTTTTTAACCTTGAGACGTCTTTTACTCACACTTCAACAGTAGGCTGGATTAAGTCAGTTGTGGGAATTTGTAACTCAAAATGGATACTTTCTTTGAGACAAACTTGTCCATTCTAATGAATTCAACTGTTACTCAGTTTCATTGATGCTACCCATTGAGTTTTTAGCAAAAATCTTGCACTTCTCTAGCTCCATTTAAATTACAATGATACCTGTGTTTTAGGGAATATTGTATTTTTAATCTGATTTTACTGATTATGTGATAAAATAATGTTTTAAAGAGATAATTAGAATAATAACCAGTACGGCTCATCTTGTACTTAGTTACACTTTTTGTTAAGGAGCAGTCATTCTCATCTGTGTTTCTATACTTTTATCATAAGAAGTTCTGGTAACGTACTGGTTACAAATCGGGCTGCTAACCTCAAGGTCGGCAGTTCAAAACTACTAGCTGTTCTGTGGGAGAAAGATGAGGCTTTCTGCTCCTGTAAAGATTTACAACCTTGGAAACCCTGTGCAGGGTCACTATGAGTTGGAATCGACTCCACGGTACTTAACAACAACATACTTTTATCAGAAGTATAACAGTTTCACAGTATTTGATAAACTTATTCATATTTTTCTATAAAATGTATCTATCTCCCTTAGATTTTCAAATTTGTTGGAGTATACCTCTACATAGTATTCTGTTTTTATCTTTTTTATTTCCATTGGTTCTGGTGTAACGTCACCCAAGTGATTTCTTATTTCTGTTATCATATCTTCTCCCTCTTTTCTTTTGTTAGGTTTGCCAATGGTTTGTCAATTTTATTAATCCTTTTGAAGAACCAGCTTCATGTCCTGTTGATTCTTTATGTAGTTTTTCTGTTTTCTATCTCATTTATTTCTGCTCTAATTTTTAGTTTTTATTTTCTTTTGGTGTCTTTAGATTTACTTTGCTTGTCTGTTTCTAATTGTTGGAGATGGCATATTAACGATATTTTGATAGCTTTAAATTTTTATCAGCAGTAGAAGAGGTGATGGTGCAACTAGCTTGTATAATAATAGCAAAGATCACAGAAAGTTACACAGAATAGGGAAAGTGTTCTAAGCTGTACTGTTATTTCCATTCTTCAGTATATCTTAGATTTAGATAGGCTTCTGAAGGAGGTATTCAATTTGTTATTATTTTTTTATTAGTTTTTGAACATAGAATTTAAAAATACACATGTATCACAATCGATATAATAATTTCTAAAGCTAATTCCAAGGAACGCTCTTTTTCAGCATTTAGAGGGTTAAACTAGAGAGACTATACTTACATGACATTATTACCATTGTATTCTTGAATGAAGCTAACCATCTTTTCTGGTACTGGCTCTGGAAACTCCAATTAAAATTTGTCTTTTTCTGTTGTTTTTTTTTTCACCTTGCTTTCACAGACTCTTAACTTTTTCTTATAAAATTTAGATACCACTTTTAAGTAATATTAATAGTTTTCTCATCTACTTTTTCTTCTTTGTATCTAATAACTACTGCACATATGTATAATTACCTACTGCTTGGATATTCATTGACCATTCACTTATTCTTTTAGTCAACTAATATTTATTAAGTACTGTGCTCAGCATTGGTTATGTATGTTGAGAGTAAGAAACATGCCGTCAACTTAATGCTGAATCTGTTGTATTAATATATGCTTTCTCATTGTGTGTTGTATTTCATTAACAAAGAATAATTTGTCTGTCATGTGTTTATAGATGCCCCTGAAGTTTCAGTCACAGGGTATGATGGAAATTGGTTTGTTGGCAGAAAGGGTGTCAATCTCAAATGTAATGCTGATGCAAATCCACCACCCTTCAAGTCTGTGTGGAGCAGGTAATTATGTTATATATACTTAATTTGTCTTGTGTTTAATGTTATACTTAGGTTTTTATGATTGTGGTTTATTTCAATAAACAGCTTTAAAAAGATTATAAACCATTTTTATAGTTTGCAGACAATTAAAGGGATTAGAATTTTAGATTTAAATTACTGAGGTGTAATTGGTGAGATATACATAGTTCTTTTTCATCCTTATGCATTCTTTTTCTAGGAAAATGGGTTCCATTTTTGAAAGCTGATGCTTGCAAATTTTTTCTTTACAAGGTCCCCTTAAGATGACTTTAAAAGATTTTGTTGAGTGTTCATGCATTCTCTACAGTTGAGGTCACAAAACCACCTCATTTAACCTATTCTCTACTGTTACTTTGCTTTTCTAAGTTTTCATTGGTTCCTGGTGTGGCGCTGTAGGATATAAGCACTGAACTGCTAGCTCTAAGGTCAGCATTTCAGACCTATCAGCCGCTCTTTGAAAACCCTGTCTATACAGGGTCAGTATGAGTCGGAACCGACTCCGTGATTTAACAGCAACAAATTTTCATTATTATTTTGTTTCTTTGTTATAAGTGGTTTGTCTTTGTCTTAGTTTCTTAATTCTACTGTAACAAAAATACTACAAGTGGATGACTTTAGCAAATAAAATTTTATTTTCTCACTGTTTAGGTAATTAGAACTTCAAATCCAGGGTGCTGGCTTTAGGGGAAGACTGTCTCTGCCCACATAAGGGGAAATTTTTGTATAAACTTCTAGAAATTCACTGTCGATCTCCATGTGACATCTGCATTTCCTTAATTCTTGCTTTACTTGCTTTTGTGCCTAATCTATTCGTAACATATCTCAAACATGACTGTTTAAGAAATATTTTATACAGATAATTTCTCTTAACATACAAAGAAAACCCTATCCCCAAATGGGATTACATCTCTAAATTATAGAGATTAGGATTTGCAACAGATATTATTGGGGAACACAATTCAGTTCTGTGCCTAGTCTCTTCTTGTCATATCTCAAAAGCGACTGTTTAAGAAACATTTTATACAAATATATCCGCACTAACATAGCAAAGAAAACCCTGTCCCCATATGGGATTATATCTCCAAATCACAGCAAATAGGATTTACAGCACTATTATTATTGGAGAACACAATTCAATTCATTATGGTCTTCTCTATTATAGACTTAGAACACAGCAAGCAGAGCAGAGTGTAGCAAACAGTAAGATCTTAGTAATTAAGTGACTGAACATATTAATGGATGATTTTGGGAATCAATGTAATTAAGATTTTAATAGTTGAGTGTGTTTACTTGACTTTTTACCCTGTTAAGACAGGATGAAGTGACTTATATGAGTTTTATAAAAAGTATCAAAATAAAGACCTCTTGGTTATATATTTTTCTTTTCCCTCTTTTGTACACTTAGGTTGGAAAATAATTTTTAACACTATATTTAGTTCCACTGTAATGAATGGCTTTAGAGTTCTTATGTTGTTATGTTATACTAAATTGCTATCAAGTTAAGTCCAACTCATGGTCACCCCATGTATTACACAATAGGTTTTTCTTGACTATAACATAACAAAAATATTTCACTAGAATTTTCTCTGTGGTACCACTGGTTGGATTTGAAATCACCAACCTTTAGGTCAATGTCAAACTGTTGGTGCAACCTAGGGACCTTATAGTTCTTATTCTGGGACATTATTCCTAGTATAGTTCATATTAATGTATGATATTCTAGACAGAACCTTTTGACCAAATTAGTATGAAATCCACTGCCATCAAGTCAATTTGACACATGGTGAACACCTTTTAAAAAGAGTTATTATTGACAAAAAATTGTAACTTAGTTTTTTATTATCACAGATTATAAAATGATTTTATAAAAAGACCTTTCTTGGTGCTTTAGAATCCATCTTTGGATAGGGCACTTCATCATTTCACTCAGTATTAAATGATACTCCATGAATATGTTATGTTACATTGTTCAGTGCCATTGAGTCAGTTCCAACTCATACTAAGCCTACGTAGGTTTTCCAAGGAGCGACTGGCGAGCTTGAACTGCCAACCTTGAGATTCAATTCAACTTTGCAGTCTAGTGCTTTACCCCACAGTGCCATACCCAGATTTGTTGCTGCTGTTAAGTACCATCGAATCAGTTCCTTATAGGGACTCTGTATAGGAATTTCGAGGAGTGACTGGTGAGCTTAAACTGCCAACCTTGCAGTTCAAACCAATCTTGCAGTCCAGCATATTAATCCACAGTGCAAGTTTTTTAAAATATTAACTGGTGTTTTTTCTTCATCACTCTCTAATATGTTGGCCTAGTTTACTTTTATGTGATTGATAATTATTGAAAGAATGCACATTCTCTCTCTCATACATATACACACCCACACCCACCCCCAACACAGTGGTTAGAAATGTATTGCAAAGTTTACAGTTAAAACATGTTTTGGAGCCCTGGTGTGGTGAGCTGCATTCAAACTCACCACTGCTCCTCAGAAACTCTATACATGGTTGCTCTGCGTCGAGTAGGCGGTTTACAACAACAACAATGTGTTCTGAAACATAACATTTTTTTAAATTAAAATTCTAGGTTACATATATTTCTTTGTCTTCCTAAAATTATTAGTACCCTTACTTTATTTTCTTCCTAAGGTTTTAGTTGAAACCTTAGGAAGAATATTATTTAAATGTGATTCTGGAATTGGGATAACCTCTCCAGACATACATGAACATGAATGCACTTATTGTTTCTGGTGTTATTCTCAAGAATGATGTATTTTCTAGTTTCATTTGGTTGACAGTAAATAACCAATTTTCTTCCACTGTGATCTGTTAATGTTACTTAAAAAAAATAGTGCATATTTTATTGGAATTTTGTTATCATTAACAGGATAGATCTTAGAAGATCTTAGAAAATATTTGGCTGACTTGGCAGAAATAGCTTTCCTTTTTGGAACATTGTCTAAATCAGACATTTTGGCATTGCATTGTTAATTCTGTTTCAGTTAAATTACTGTGTGTGAAAATGAGTAACCATTTTTCTTCCTACTTTTCAGATTAATGTGCATGATTGCCAGTGTTGATAGGACACTCTTTTGCTTCTTGGAGCACTTACTTGTTCTAGAAATATTTGGTTAACTGGCAGTTAAGAATAGGCATTCTTACCTTTATTAAAATGAAAGAATCTTAACTCTTTGTATGCTTTCATTTTGTAGTACATAGCATTTAATGGACACTGTTTCTTACCCTACCGTCTCAAAAGTGTCTTAGTTTAAATAACTATTGTTGCATATATTATTAAAGCTATTTAAAATAACTCTATACTTTTTAAAATTTAGGTTGGATGGACAGTGGCCTGATGGTTTGTTGGCTTCCGATAATACTCTTCATTTTGTTCATCCACTGACTTTCAATCATTCTGGTGTTTATGTCTGTAAAGTGACCAATTCCCTTGGTCAGAGAAGTGACCAAAAGGTCATCTATATTTCAGGTAAGTTATAACCACCTTGAAATATGAATTCCTTTAAATACTCATATAACACCTGTTGGAACAGCAACACTATTATCTAAGCACTCATCTATACTTGTATAGAAACAGACTCTTCAGTGTGAGATTTTCCAGATAATCTATAAAGGGATATGATAAACTAATCTATCTGAAATAATATAAGGTGACTTCAAACTTGTGGGAGAATTCCATTATCTTTTTAATTCCATTCTCCCACAAAATTTTGAAGCCCCTTCATATATGTAAAGGAAATGTTAAAATATATGTTTATGCACATTTTAAATAGCTATACATATAATTTTTCTGTTAAGCAATATTGAGTATTCCTCCCTTGATAATAATGCCTTGCTGGGTTTTGTTGTTACACCAAGAATAAACATTGCTTTTTTTATGTTGCACTTACTCTGTACCCCAAGTATCTGATAAATAAATTGGGATATCAACTTTGATGACCTGCTTATCAAGTAACATTATTTGTCGCTCAATATGAAACGATACCATATTGGGTTACTGAGAGTTGAAGTATGAATGTTTATTAAATGTTTTTGTTAAATACCATGAAAGATGTTTCTTAGTGTTAGTCCTTAAGCCACTAAGAATTTAGACTTTTCACATTCCAGGTGTTTCACTGTGAATGCTTTTGTTGCTTTAACTATGTATTAATTTAGGCAGACACAAAATGTTAATATGCTTAGAGTAAGAATCCATTTTCTAAGATGTGGCTATAAACAAAAAGTGTTACTTATAATGTTAAGTGCCGTCAAGTCCAATTCAAAGCAACCCTGTATAGGGTTTCTGAGGTGTGCCTGGTGAATTTGAACCACTGACCTTGTGGTTCAAACCAACCTTGTTGTTCAGTATTTGTCCTACAGTGCCACACCAGGATAAGGTAAACTATTTTGAGCACTTCTCTATTGACTACTAGCAGTCTTCATGTCTAACAAATGGAAAGTTAAGAGAAAAAGGAAGAGAATTTTGAGGAATACAAGTTTGTATGGGTATTATGTAATAGCTAATTAAGATCTAAAAGTTAATAAATTAGACTGTAGAGTAAGCATGTGCTTACTAAAATGTGTTCTTAGTTTTTGTGTGATCACTCAAGCAAAGATTTTTTTTTGTTGTACTTAATACAGTTGTACTAGTATGTTTGTGTGTTACCTATTCTCAGTCACAACTTTATATCCAGCAATTAGCATATTGCCTGATATATGATAAGGGCTTAAATATTATTTTCTTATGAATCTTACAAGAAGCTTAGAATACTGTATGTCCCCAGTTCTTTCCACCAATAGTAGAGGTAGGAATCTGAATAATATTAAATATTAGTAAAATTAGTCTCTTTTTAGAAGATTTTTATTTCTTAAAAAATGGAAATGCATGTTTAATAGTATATTTATTTAAGGACTATTTATTTTTTTGTGTTGAACAAGTAGGAGTTCAGTATTATTTATAAATTTTAGATTCAAGTATGTTATAATTAGTAATTATTTAAATATTGGGACTCAAATTTGGAGACTTATAGTTATTTAATAGTGTTCTAAGTTTGTATTTTTTGATTTGCCAGGTCCCTTCCCAGTACTCCTTGACTTGTATGTTCACCTGCCTGTTAATGATCATTCACTCTATTTGTACATCCAATAAACATTTGCAACTTGTTAAGTGCCAGTGAGTCAGTTCTGATTCATAGCGACCCTATTTAGAATTTCCTAGGAGTGGCTAGTAGGTTTGAAATGCTAACCTTGCAGTTAGCAGTCCAATGCATATTCTGTAGTGGCACCACACCAGGGCTCCTTAAACATGTCCAAAACCAAGTTCTTGATCATCTGCCTGCCCCTGTCACCAAACCTGTTCCATCAGCAGCCTTCTTCCTCTTAGTTTTGGTAGCTTAATCCTTCCATTTGGTTTGGGTACAACCCTGATGGTTATATTTAATAACATAAACATAAAGTGTAATCATAACATTTTATTATACTTTTTCTCACATACTCCATCCAATTCAGCAAATCCTATCAGCTCAGCCATTATATTTAGAATCTTTACAAGTGTCATATTTGCTCTGCTGCTATTCTTCTACTACTATGGTTTAAACCATCCGCAAATCCTTATCCATGCTATTACAGCAGCCATTTAATTAATCTGTTTACTGTCCATTTGTCTCATTTTGATTTGTTGTTCAATCAGCCTGTCATTATGTCATTCATCTCTTCAGTACCTTCCATGGGCTCTTTCCATTTCATTTACACTGAAAACCAAGTCTTCGTAGTGACTTATAAGGCTTTTATATGTGATCTGATCCCACCAGGCTACCTTATTTATATCTTGATTATATCTCTTGCTCATTTTGCTTCACCCACACTCTCCTTATTACTGTTCTTTTGAAAGAACAGTCACATTTTTACTTCAGAGTCTTTATATTTTCTGTTTCCACTGCATCAAATGTTTTATCATCAGATACCGTCATAGTTCTTTTCCTCACTTTCTTAGGATCTTTACTTAATTATCACTTGCTTTCAGAAGGTCTTTCTTCTTTCTGGTGGTATTTAAATTGGAAAATCCTTTCTTCTCATTCCTTTACTATCTTTTATCCTTCTCCTCTGCTGTATTTTGTATTGACAATACTGTATGTTTTATTTTATTTATATGCTTGCCTGTTAACCTCACTAGATTAAAGCAGAATTTTGGTTTTTGATCGATCTCTGCTGTTTCTACTATGTGAAGAATGCTTAGCATATAATAGGTGTGTGATACTTCGTTGTTGTATGAATTAATGAATTTGTTTAAGAGAAGAAAACAATCTGAAAAAATTAAAAGTCCAGAATCTGCTTTTATGTAACTTTTTTTTGTTTTTTTGCACAAGGGAACTAATTTAACACTGGTATATTTTACACAATTTTTTTGTTTTTATTCAAAATCTAAGTCTTATGCCGTTGTTGTTAAGTGCCATCAAGTCAGTTACGACTCATAATGACCCCATGTAGGGTTTCCAAGGAGCAGCTGGTCTTATAAGAAGGGAAATTAAGTTTTAAATAACTATGAAGGGGCTTCAAAGTTTTAGGAAAATGCCCTTATCTTTTAATTTAGTCTTCCTATGAATTTTCTGAACCCCCTACAGATGGTATATAAGAATTATCTCTGATAAACACTGGACTATGAACCACAAGGTTGGCAGTTCGTGGCCACCATTCACTCTGTGGGAGAAAGATGAGGCTTTCGGCTCCCACAAAGAATTCTAGCCTTGGAAAACCCTCTACAGGGTCTCTCTGAGTCAGAATTGACTCCATGATGCTAAACAACAAAGTGCTTCAGAAGATGGAAGCATCTTAGGAAATTATTTTCTCTAAGCCATCATCAATTACGTTTCTGCTCAGAATATTAAACACATCACATATACCAAGTTTAACTCCATTAAGAACTTGGTGGTATGTGTCACATTTTCTAGATAAGGTACTGTTTTTCCAGAATGACTGTGTAGAATTTTTTTTTTAAAGAAACAAAAGGCTATAATTCACAATAAAAGTAAGTTCCTATTTAATTTCTTTTATTGCAATATATATGTACTTTGTTTCCTGGTGTGTGTGTACATGTGGATTTTAAAAACTTGTATTAAAATTTATATTTAAATTTTAAAAGAAAGATTTTTTTTTTATTATAAATGCTTGCTATGACCACAGATGAAAAGTTCTCAGAATAGAGTAGAATTAGCAACTCTATGTGATATATTGCTCTTAATTTTATTAAACAGTTTCCCAAATTAGTAAACATAAGATTTTAGACAGTGGGTCATTGATTGAAGATTGTAATATTCCACTTCAATTATTAAATTGTACTCTAATATGGTATAGTGAGTCTTTTGTCCTACTGGAAAATGTGTTTTTGTAGTTTTCATTTGGTATGTATTTTTTTCTGTCTTTGAAAATAGAAAAGTATACTTGTATATATCAGATAAGCTACCTGATACCTAGTCTTCAAATCTAGAATAAGTTCCTGTGGGAAACATTCATTTCAAATACTATAGACCTTAGGATCCAGACATAATATTAAACTTAAATGTTGTTAAATGCTCTCAAGTCACTTCTGACTCCTAGTGTCCCTGTATAGGGGTTCCAAGGAGTGGCTGGTAGGGTTTAACCGCCAACCTTGTAGTTGTAGTCAGCAGTTCAATGCTTGTCTTACGGTCCCACATCAAGACTCCTAAACTTAAGTAGCCTCACTTGAATTTAAATTTTTTTCTAATACATATAAATTCTAAAGGAAAAAGAAGTTCTTTTTTTTTTTTTTTAAACAGCAATTTTTAAGCTAAAATTGGCATTATAGCTATAGAGGCCTTACTGGATTATTCATTTTGCTGTTTGGTAGAACTTTTAATTAGAAAAAGAAACTTACATGGTTGTTCATTTGGGTGAAGAGAATTTAGAGTTTATTAGTTTATTACATCCTTTATCACACATGCAGCAAAGAATATAAAAAATAATGTATGACTAAAAAAAGTATGCTAGTGGCATGAATTTTAAATCATGATAATTACCTAAATAAATTGCTGTGGGTGATTATAAAATTGTCCTCTTGTTTCCTTACATAGAACTCTGACTCACATTGTAATTATCTTACAACAGGATAAGAATTAGAAAACATGGGTTAATGTCACATAAAAGTCGGTTGAACCACAAAGTTGGCGGTTCAAGCTCACCAGCCACTCTTTGGAAACCCTATACAGGGTTGCTATGGGTCGGAACCAACTTGACGACACTTAACAACAACAACATACATTGTCATATGTCCATTCTTTAAAATATAAAATAGGCAAAATCTGTGAAAGCCAGAACCTATGTAAGGTGTAGACTTATCAGAAAAGTACAAGTAAAATATTTTGTACTAATAGTGCATGGTAGAAAAGTGGTAAGACATTCCCTGTCAATGAGGAAGACTTTGGAAATCCAGAAAAACAAGGCCTTTCTCTGGAGTTCTGATGAAATAGGTTTCACTCTATTAATAGTCCTTCTTTTGTGAAATGATACTGGTAGTGAGATTATTCTATTTTTAATACTAGTTAAGGAGTAGGCTAGTGGGTTAGTTGAACTGTTGTTAAGACCACTGACAAATAAACTTGGTTTAAAAATATTTGGGGGTGTTAGGAGTTGCTCTTTATTTTTAAAATTAGGTTTTCTGAAGACTATATTTTGTTAAATCTGAGTGAGAAGTTCACTAGCTATCCATTTATGTTCATATAAAAGACAACAAATAGATGTTAGAATTGTCATTGATTTGTTTTATTCCTCTGTAAAAATATTTGATAAAAATATTAGTTGTATCTTGGGCTTACTGAGAGCTGAGGTATATGCAGTAGTCTGAGAAAATTAGCATTTCGTTGTTGTTGTTGTTTTGTGCTGTTGAGTCAGTTCCTACTCACAGCTCATGTTGTTGTTGTTGTTAAGTGCCGTCGAGTCGGTTCTGACCCATAGCGACCCTGAACAGGGTTTCGAGGCTGTAAATCTGTACGGGAGCAGAAAGCCTCATCTTTCTCCCGCAGAGCAGCTGGTAGTTTCGAACTGCTGACCTTGTGATTTGCAGCCCGATTCCTAACCACTACGCTCCTCATAGCTCATAGCTACCCTGTATAAGGTTTCTGAGGAGCTGCTGGTGAGTTTGAACCACTAACCTTGAGGTTCATACCTACCTTTTGGTCAAGTGCTTACCCTATAGTGCCACATCAAAAGCCTTTTTAAAATCTTAACAACACAAAAAATGTGTGAATTATAAATAATTAGCTTCGGTGATATCTATTTGGCCAGTCAGTACTAATGCTAATTTATTGTAAGATAATTTTCTTTGGATATCATTGTAAAGAAGACCCTTAATACTTAAACATTGGATTTTCCATTACTCCTTCACACAAAGTACATGAGTTGTCTTGTAATGATTTAATTTTTAGTCAGTTTCATAAACCCCTACTCTATGAAGTTAATTTATATGAATCATTATTACTTTCATACTAGAAAACACTAATTTTTTTTTTAGGTTAAATTCATTCATTTGCCTTCTCAAAAAGGAATGCTAATTTCCTTGATTCCGTTGATAATTGGAGTCCTGGTATGGTGCTGTGAGATAATGCACTAAACTGCAAGGTTGGTTTGAACTGCAAGGATGGTGGTTCATATTGACCAGCCACTCCTTGGAAATCTCATACAGGGTAGGGTACCTATGAGTTGGAACCAGCTCAACGACACTTAACAACAACAATAACTGATAATTAATAATGACTTCAAGGTGTTTGGCAGGATTACCTGTTTGTCAGTTTCAGTTTATAGAAAATTAGTCATACTGTACGTGTTAAATTTTATACTATATTTGCTAAATTTTTACCACATTCTATACATATGGCATTCCGTGATGAAACCTGTTTAAGTAAGTATTTTTCTTTAGCTTGTGATATTAGAATAACTTACTCCATGTAGATTTAGTATTTTTCTAACAATCATTTTTTAAAAAGCTTTATCAGTACCACTCATTTAAAAAGTAATTATAGGAAATTACCATTTGGGTCATTTATTTTTACAAGAAGAAATTCACAATTTTTTAACTCATCCTTTCTTCAAACTCTACAATTTTGTGTTACACGACTTAAAAATATCACTTAATTGATAATTAACCTATCTTTAATTTTTACTATTTATGTTTAGTTGCTTTTTAATATTAATGGCTATTTACTCTGTAATCTAATGGCAATACACTGGAGCATTTGCATCTAATACTTAAGTATTATTAGAATGTTCTCTCTAAAATATTAATTTTTCTTTTTGAAACTCTGCCATAAAGCAGTGATACCAAATTTGAAAAATGTGCTTGAAATTCCATAATTTCTAAAGTGTTTGGATTTCTTACCCATGAGGTAATGGATATGATAATGATACTTTTATTATATTTTATAGTTTGTAATATATTTTTATTTTATCTTTGTTTATTAGTTTCATTTGATAATAATCCATTTGGCTAACACCGTTTAAACATAATAATACTCTTTATTTTTTAAATTACTAAATGGCATATACAACATTTTTCTCTAAAAATTGAAGAATTCTCTATTTACAGAAAATATTTTTGAGAGAATTTAAAAAACCAATAGCTTATACTGTGCCCACTTAACAAGAATCTGTATAGTTTTTCATTCTTTTAAAGATAAGTTCAGATCTTACAAAAATAAACCATATTAGGTTAAACATGGATATTGAGAAAATATACTTTTTATTATTTTAGTTGTTTTGTTTTATTTCCCTGTGCTACTGGCTAGAAAATAAATGTTTGACTTAATTTTTGGTATGATAATCCTTAAGCCAGCATTGTATAAGACACTAAAGTAATACTCTTCAGTTTTTTTTAATAAAAGACAACCTTTTCCCAGAGTGAATATCATGCCTTAAACTTGGAATAGACTAATTTAGGATGTACACCATAATTTTTCATCCTTTTCATTTCATTTGTAACTGACTAAGTGTCAGTTTTGTTATTTTTCAAATGTATGAATATTATATTCTATTCTTAATCAAATTAAGAATGAAAAACTATTGTTATTTTGTGTATATATGCATATATATATATATATATATATTCATTAACTGTGCTGTCTTTTCATCTTGCTGCTGAATCAGCCTGCATTGACATTCTTTGCCTTTCTGTGTGTCTATCTTTACTTGTTTCCATTAGATCCTCCTACTACTACCACCCTTCAGCCTACAATTCAGTGGCGTCTCTCAACTGCTGACATCGAGGATCTAGCAACAGAACCTAAAAAATTGCCCTTCCCATTGTCAACTTTGGCAACGATTAAGGATGACACAATTGGCACCATCATTGCTAGTGTAGTGGGTGGGGCTCTCTTCATAGTACTTGTAAGTGTTTTGGCTGGAATATTCTGCTATAGGAGAAGACGGACGTTTCGTGGAGACTACTTTGCCAAGAACTACATTCCACCATCAGATATGCAAAAAGAATCACAGATAGATGTTCTTCAACAAGATGAGCTTGATTCTTACCCAGACAGTGTAAAAAAGGAAAATAAAAATCCAGTGAACAATCTAATACGTAAAGACTATTTAGAAGAGCCTGAAAAAACTCAGTGGAACAATGTAGAAAATCTCAATAGGTTTGAAAGACCAATGGATTATTACGAAGATCTAAAAATGGGAATGAAGTTCGTCAGTGATGAACATTATGACGAAAATGAAGATGACTTAGTTTCACATGTAGATGGTTCAGTAATTTCGAGGCGGGAGTGGTATGTTTAGCAACCACTAAACATGACAACTATGTACAATGTTTCATTCATACTAGCTGATCATTTTCAGATTGTTCATACTTTTTCTTGAGGAAGAATTTGCTTTTTCAAGTTGATTTTCAAGCTTTTTATATTCTAATCTGACAAATGAAAATGTAAAATCTGGGTTAAATGTATCTGAGCTGCTTTACAATTTTTTTCAATGCTGTACTACTGTCTCCAGATTTAAATTTAATGCAGAGTACTTTATTGGTCTGTGCCACACAGGTAAGAAGGAAATGTCAACATTAAATGTATGACTTTTTGGTACAAAAATTTAAAAAAAAAAAAAAAAAAAAGGAAGGAAGGAAGAAAAAAAAGGAAACTACCTTGGCATTGTGTATTAAATGTTTACCTAAGACTATAATCTCAAATATAATGTTTGTTAAACATATTACCTCTCGAAATTTATCACCACTAAATAATACTGCATCAAAATTGAGTATAAAGTGAATTCAAGAAATGTTTATATATATTTTTAGTATAAAATATTCAGCCTGATGGAACATCTTTCCTTTTCAAATCTTATTTTCTAAGTTTCTATACAGATGGAATCTCCTTACCTCTGCATTTTAATGAGCCTTGCCATAGTTACTGTAGAGTGGCTTTTTAAAGATATTTTGTTGCACTAAAACTGTGGTAGTAAACTCAGTGAACATGTGTGAAAGAACATAATTAACTGATCAATATTTTTGTCCAAAGTACAAACAAGAGTAATAAAATATATGTCTCATAACATGATAATTAATTATAATTATTTTCACCTTTGGAAGAAAATTCTTATATGGTCATTTGAACATGGATTTTGGTGCATTAAATTATAATTTGCCTTTTTTTTTCTCCTTTCATGCTTTATGATCCTAAATATAAGAATAATAATGAAAGACTACACTTAAATTCAGCACAAAGAGGAAACAGTTCAGAATGTTGGAAATACAGGGGTAAATTAGCAGTGTGATACCAGTTTTTCAAATGAGAAATTTCAGCCAATAACATATACAAAGAATTTTGTAGACCATTTTATTTTGAGTCATTGAATGCTGATGTTCAAACGGGTAAATGTACAGAAAAAAAAATTAGAATAATCTTGGACATTTTAGATTTAACTATCTAGATAAATCTGAATTATAGAACCAATTGGTGATACTTTCTTATGAATATTGGCTAACTGTCCCATTTTTGTTACTAAATGTATGTATGCATTTCAAAATTTTTGTTTTTCCAATTAAAACTGGAAACATATCATGAGGTTTTTTGTTTTGTTTTTATATAAATTCATTGAGTATATTCTCCCGTGAAACCCTGTCGCTGTTGAGAAAGAAATGTTATCTAAATCTACAAATTTGGATCTTTTTGTGAGGACGTTGCTTCTGTAGTGGAATCCTGTAAAATCCCAAGAGTATCTATTTTGAAGCATAAAAAGTGTTTTTCTATTTATGATTTATTTGAAAAAAGGACTGTTAGAATTGCTTTAGGTGTTTTATAGGGCAATGAAATTGAAATTTAGAAGAATCATAAAATAAATTATTTTCTTAATGAGAAAGCAAAGTAGATACTTTTTTACTCTCATTTCTCCCTCTACCCTCACATACACGTACCCCAAAAACTTAAAAACACAAAAACAAAAACTCTTAGAAGACAAAGCTTTACCAGTTACAATTTTGCAAGTAATAAAAACTTGATTCTAAATGATTTTAAACCAGCTGCCTTAATTTTAACTAATAATATATTTTGAAAATAAAAACTTACTTATCTTTCCAATTAGTACAAAACTCTTTAAGGTTAAGGATGTACTTAAGTGGTATATACTTATAAAAAATGTCTGGGTTTTTATTGAGTTAGCCATTGATTTATTAATACTAAATTTATAACATTGGAAGAAATACTTTCTTGATAATGTACTGTGCTTAAAGCATGTTTATTTTTTATTTAATTACCTCTAATAATATGGCTATGAAAAATAGGGGTGTAAAATTCCTTGCCATAGAAGGTATATTATTTGTGGTTTTTTCTACCAAAGTTTCATTTAAAAATAGTGGTTTGAAATGCTGTATGACTCTAGGATAGTAATCCCATTTAGTATACTGTAATGAGCACCCAAATAAATCTCATCTTGAGTATAGTCTGTAAGAAATTCACAGTGTATTCTAACTTTATTTCAGAATTACATCTACAGTGTGTGAGTTTTACGTTCACATTGTGTGATTAGGGTTTTTCCGCCCACAGAGAGGGTGACATGGAAAAACAAGTATTTGATACACTCCACGTCCTGGAGTGGCACTGTAGGATCAGCACTGGTCTATGAACTACAAGGTCAGCAGTTCAAATCCGCCATGAGTCAAACCTGCCATGTTATGTGTCGGAACTGACATGATGGCATTTAACAACATATCCTTAACCAGGACTCCTGGTGTGGTGCTGTAGGATCTGCACTGGACTGCAAACCACAAGGTCAGCAGTTCAGACCCACCAGCTTCTCCTTGAAAACCCTATGCAGGCTTGCTAATGAGTTGGAACTGACTTGATGGTACTTAACAACCACATATCCTTAACCAGGACTCTTGGTGTGGCACTGTAGGATCAGCAGTGGACTCTGGTAACCACAAGGTTGGCAGCTCAAACCTACCAGCCACTCCATGGGAGAAAAATGAGCCTTTCTGCTCCTGTAAAGATTTATAGTCTTGGAAATGCTACTTTGGTTAGCTATGAGTCAGAAAAGATTTGATGATAGTTGCTTTTTTGGTTATATCCTTAATCAATGTAAATCATTTGGTAAAGTAAATAGTTTAAAATTTCTGAGCATCTGAAACCTAGTGCTAAAGACTTTCTGAAGCATTGCACTGTTCCTTAGAACTTTGTTTACTATATACATGGAGACTGGTTTGTAATCATGAATACTCATACGACAAACATTTTTGTTAAATTAACATTTGAATACCTATGATGTGCAAAGCTTACTTATAGGTATATATGAAAGCCTTACTGTCTTCATAGAAAAGATGAACGAATATTTTTGGCCATGTGCGTTGTTTTGTTTTGTTTACCCAATTTGCTTTGATACAGCTTTGCATTTTTGTACTCATTTTAAGATTTTAAATACTGTTAAAATTACCAGTAATACAGTGAAATATATTTTTTTCCTGCCATTTTATTAGAATATTTTGAAACTTTTTATTTGTTAAGGATTAACTTCAAAAGATGTTATTTAAGAAGTACTTTAAAGTTGAAAGAAATTTTACTATGTGCCTATATATAGGTTTCTATTTTATATATGTCTAGTACTAAACAATTAAGGTTTTTCAGTAGGAAATACTGATTCTGATAGCCATGTGCAAGGAAGTTTTATAAAGTGTACCCATGGCTAAGTGTTTTGCATAAGGGGCTGCAGGAAGTATATCATGTAAGTGCAAAAAGAGAAAAGTATCCATTTTATATCCAAATACATGTAATTTGAGTTTAGTATTCTTTGTCATATATATTGAAAGCATATGAACGAGTAAGAGGTGGTTAATGTTTAGAAATGTAAAATTCAGGAAAGAAACACTACTCATATTGAAGCTTTCATTCTAATGGGAGTCCAGATTACAAATTTAATTGTTGTTCCTGTTTGTTAATTAGGAATGTACCATTCTCAAATTTTTTTCATTTGTTAGAATTAATTTTAGTTCACTCTATAGTGTTTTGTTGTTGTTTTTTTTTTAAAGTAATTTATGTAGTAGGTGGTAGCCCCAGGAGTCACATGACAAATACGCTTTAAAAAGCGTATTTCTGAAGTGAGCCTATGGATCTTGATTACCCTCTTTTCTCTATGATATTTGCTAGAATGTATGTACTTGTAAGTATGTTTGACTCCTTTTTAGTTAATAATTTTTAGACATTAGAAAACTTTCATATTTGTTATCAAAGAAGATTTATAAAATCAGATTATGAATACAGTTAAGTAAGATTTGAGAAAGGAAATATGCAAGTTGGCACGTTAGCATTATAGAATTTGATTTTAGTTAACAATTTGTTCGCTATTTTATATATACTTTATGAATAACATCCTTGACAGCTATGAATTATCTTGACTCTGTAGTCCTAGGAGTTAAAAACACATTTTAGATGTTTTTGCTATGATTTTGGCTTAAGTCACATTTAATACATTGGTTTTCACTTTTCAATTAACACATTTTCTTGAGTTATCATTTAGTGTTTTTCACTTAGGAGATACGTTGATTAGAAATGCCATTGTTTTCAATGATTTGTAAATCACCTCTCTATATCCTGTTTCTGACATTTAAAGTTAAAATTATGATGCATTTTCTAAATCCAAAATTATTTTAGATAAAGCAACAGCTTAAAATTTTTTGGGGGGTCTTCTTATATTTGACTGGATTAAGATTAGTCCCTTTGTATATCAGTATAATAATAAAGATGAACTTTTCGTGAAAATTCATGCATGAAAGAATCTTTGAAACAGTACAGTACACAAACTTCTGGTTTGGTTTTTTTTTTTGTAATGCTTGCTATTTATTTTTTTCTATTACAATCAGCAACATTTTTTTAAAAACACTGTACTAGTTTGAGTTGGGTTTCCATCAAGAACTTGAAACTTGGTATAGATATAGATGAAGTCCTGGTGTAGTGCTGTGGGATTGCTCAGATAGTTTGAACTATCCGACTGGTGAGGTTGAACCACCGACCTTATAGTTCAAATGGTTTTGCAGTCTGATGCATTAACTCATAGCGCCACACCAGGCTCCTTACTCAACTGTAATAGATACTAATTCACAGTATTGGTAGTTTAATCAGCAGCAACTCAGAAACCCTATAGAGGTTTGTTGAACCTACTAGACAGCTCTTAACAACAACATATATCAGTATATCCAGTGAGTGTTCAAATTTTCACGTTTTTAGCTTGATGAAATCAAGATCCAAATATGATAAATTGTGGTTCGTTGAAAACCTTTAAATCTAATTACACATAAT